CATGGCTGATGACACTGCCATCCCCAGGTAGAGTACACACAGCTGAGGAAAGCGCTCTGCTCCATCTGGTCCAGGAACAGCCAAGGGTATCCTGGTATCCTGAAAAGCAGGAGCTTGGCTTTAAACTGGCATGGTCCCACCCAGGAGTCCAGCTATGCCCCCCAGGGCCTAGCCACACCCCCTCAGAAAGGAGCCAATTGTAGGACTTTAGCAACACTTTCCAAAGAAACCCACACCCATTAACAGTCCCTCCCTTTCCCAGTGCCCGCTCCCTGTCCTCCCACCCTAGCCCAAGGCAGTCACTAATCAGCTTTCTGTAAGGTTATGCCTCCAGGGGTATGCCTATCGGGAGCATTTCCCATAAAAATAATGATAATATTTGGTCTCTCTTTTTTTTAAAAAAAATATGTTTTATTGATTTTTTTACAGAAAGGGAGAAAGAGGGATAGAGAGCCAGAAACACCCATCAGAGAGAAACTTGGACCAGCTGCCTCCCGCACTCCCCACACCTGGAATGTGTGCCAAGCAATGTACATGCCCTTAGTCAGAGTCAAACCTGGGACCCTTCAGTCCACAGACCCACCCTCTATCCACTGAGCCAAAACAGTTTCAGCTTTTGTGACTGGCTTCTTTCATTTATCATAACATTTTCAAGTTTTATGTATGTTATATTCTAGTGTATGGGCATACCACCTTTTGTTTACCCATTCCTCAGTTGATGGATGAATTTTGGGTTGTTTCCAGTTTGAAGCTCTTATGAATAACACTGCTATGAACATTGTGTACACGTTTTGTGTGAATATGTTTCCATTTCTTTTGGGTATGGACCTAGAAGAGGAGCTTCTGGGTCATATAGTAACTCTGTGCTTAGCATGTGGAGGAACTGCCAAAAAAGTTTACCATAGTGGCCCCAATATTTTATATTTCCACCAGCAATGTAGGCGGGAGCCAATTTTTAAACATCCTCATGAATGCTTTTTACAAATATATATTATAGCCATTCTCCTGAGTGTTGAGTGGTATTAATATTTTTAAAATTATATGTATTTTAGAGAACGAGAGGGATAGAGAGTTAAAAACATCAATGAGAAAGAAACATAGATCAGCTGCCTTCTGTGCACTCCCTAATGGGTATGTGTTCACAACCAATGTACATGCCCTTGACCGTAATCGAACCTGAGACCCCTGAGTCTGCAGGCAGATGCTCCATTCATGAGCCAAACTGGACAGGCCTTGAGTGGTATTTTGTTGTAATTTAGAGCAGAGTTCTTAACTATAGGTTGACTTGACCTTGAACTCCATAAGGGAAGTAAATCTCTTTTATCCTCAGCCTTCACTCAGCCTCTGCCAAAACTCTCAGGCCTCTGGTAGGAATGGGCTCCTTCACATGAGCAAGGATGGACTTGAGTTCTTCCATTTTAGTTGACCTTAGTTCTTCACATTCAAGTGACTAGCCTTGCTAGTTCCTTGGGTGAAAGGATGCCTTCAAAAGGAAAAGTTCACAGGATCTGCCCACTATGGGCTGGGATGGCCCTGCCCAGTCAGACAGGCTTTTTGAGAGCAGCTAGATTCCTTCTCTCCTCTTTTCTGGATTCCTACCAGAAAAACGCTCTCACCTTTAGAGGGTCCTCTTCGTGCCCTGGGAGGAATTTGATTTGCCTTTTGTGAGGAATAGACATTTAGGGTGGTTTATGTGGTAGAGTGGTATAAATTCTACCTACCACAGACACTGACTTTGATCATTTTAACACTAAAATATTCTCAGTCTCTAAGAAGCAGGAATTTTATGAGAACATAAGCAGGCTTAGGGATTTTTGAGAATTGGGGTCCTTGGGAAACACAGGGCTGCAGACTGGGAGACATTTTCATAACATGAAAGCCAGGTACAGTTACATCTTTATATCACAAGGATGCCAGGATATTATATTTTATATTTACATAAGACAAGGAAGCAGCAACAGATATATTTACAGAAGATGAGGGAACTGGAAATAGCCAAAAAAACAGGTCACATTTAGAAAATAAAGAGAAAGAAGCCCTTTATTCAGAAAAAAGGAGTGGGGAAGAACCTCCCATGTCCCATGTGAGGTTTCACCTTTGAGCCCAGGAGTTACTATAGTAACCAACTTAAAGAGGAATAGTGACCAATCTGAGGGGATATCAAGGCACCAGGATTTGCAGCCTTTATAAACTGTAGGGAAGAGGGACTCAGAGGGACCCTTCTCCCACTCCCCATGTGGGAGTCCATTGTGGGACTCTTCCCCTCCCCACGTTGGAGTCTGTACTTGTTCTTCAATAAATCTCCACCTTTGCTATACCATTGGGTTCATTCTTAGTTCCCAGCAAAGAATTCGTGTTCTAGTCCAAAATTCAGTTTCACTTCCTCTGAAGAAAAACCTATATTATTATTGGTACGTAACTGGGTAATGGATGTAAAGACTCTTTTAGAAGCCTGTATTGATGAGATTTTGAGGGATGTTCTCCAAGGTACTTGTGTCTCTGGTGGGTGAAGAACCTAGGAATGTGAGTAGAGATATTCTATGACTCTAGAAGGGCTTGATCAGCTAGTGAAGAGGTTCCATCATTTTTTCTCTTCCAGGATTGAGAAAATCAGAGATATCACTGCCCTAGGAAGAAATCTGTGTAGGAAGGACAAAGACAAGTCAATATATCAAAGAGAGATAGAGGCTGCTGCTATGGTTAAAGGCCAAAAAATATATTGGGGATTAGTTATGTTTATTGGAAATATTAACTGTGCTCTGTTAACCATGATTGCCTTGTGTTGGTTAAAGAAAGGACCATTCTGACCTGGCTAGGAGTTGTATGCCCCTGGGACCTGGGAGTCAATCTTGGACCAGGGAATCAACCTTGGAATGTGGTCCATTCTCATTCAAGAACAGCCTATTGAGATATATTCCTAGAAATGGAATCACTGGATCAAATGGGAGTTCCATTTTCAGTTTTTGAGGAAACTCCATTCCGTTCTCCACAGTGGCTGTACCAGTCTGCATTCCCACCAGCAGTGTACCAGGGTTCCTTATTCTCTACATCCTCACCTAATATATCCCAAGAAACTAGAAACACCAGTCAGAAAGAATATATGCACCCCTATGCTCATAGCGGCACAATTCACCAAAATTAAGATTTGGAAAGAGCCTAAGTGCCAATCAACAGATGAGTGGATTAAAAAAAGAGATGCCTCTCCACACTGGAATACTAAAAATGAAAGAATTCAGACCATTGGCAACATTGTGGATAAAACTGGAGAGCATTATGCTAATGTAAATAAGCTAGTCAGAGAAAGATAAATATCACGTGATCTCACTCATTTGTGGAATGTAAGGAGCAACAAAACCTGATGAACAAAACAGATCCAGAGACAGGGAAGCATTGTTCAGACCATCAAACCTCAGAAAGAAGGTAGGAGAGGGTGGGGGTATAGGAGATATCAACCAAATGACTTGTATGCATGCATATAAGCCAAATCAATGGACACAACAGGGGTATCAGGGCATGAGTAGAGGTGTGAGGGGGGCAATAAGGACACATATGTAATTCCTTAATCAATAAAGAAAAAAAAAAAGAAGAGCCTATTATCATGGAAAGATTAACAAAGCTGTTGCCCAAACAATGGAATCCCACCCTTCCTCCTACTTCTCCATGCCTGTAATCCCTACATCCCCATGTAACCTTTGTCTTCCCACAAATAAGCAGCTGGCTTATAGGTGGCTGCAGAGCAGATTTTTGTGGATGACCTTCTGTTCTCCAATACTGCTGGCATTATTATTTAATAGAATAATCCCAAATTGGAAAGTCTAAACCTTCAACAGCAGAACAGATCATGTCTTGGACAAATAATAATATATAAATAAAAATATGGAATACTTATAGAACACTTATTATATGCCAAATACTCTTCTAAGTTTTTAATATGCAATTATCACAAATACTAATACAGATTTTACTATACATGTACTATACTAGGTACCATTCTAAGCAGGCTTAATAATGTCATTTTTGTCTTCACAATTGACCTATGAAGAGGTACAATTACTATCCCCAATTTCCAAATGGGAAGAAATTGAGGTCAAGAAGTTAGGTCACTTTCTCAATATCACAGAACTAGTTAGTTGTAAAGGTGGGAGCCTGCCTTTATGAAGCAAAAGCACTATATATGGGTCTAAGATGGAACCTTAAGAAAAACAAACAGATAAGGAGTAAATAAGATGTGGAATTAAAGAATGAGAGAGAGAAAGTGGGGAGGCAGGCCCCCCCCCAAGTGCAGTGTGGCTTCCAGTTATCTCAGAGGGAGGCTTAAGAAAGTTGGAGCAGCCCTAACCAATCTGGCTCAGTAGAGCATTGGCCTGCAGACTGAAGGGTTCCAGGTTTGATTCCAGTCAAAGAGCATGTATCTTGCTCGTGGGCACATCCAGGGGCAGTCCAGGAGGCACTTAATCACTGTTTCTAACTCTATCCCTCTCCCTTCTTCTCTGTAAAAAATAAAATATTTGTTTTAAACAGAAATTTGGACCAGACATTTATATTTAATAACAGCTTTATTGAGATACAATTCACATACTATAAAATCCATTTGAAAATGTACACTTCAATGGTTTTATTATATTCAGAGTCATGTAAGACATAACAATTACCACTATCTAATTTTAGGATTTTTTCAAAGACATGCTCAGCCCTAGCTGGTTTGGCTCAGTGGATAGAGCCTGGATCTACAAATTGAAAGGACTACGGTATATTTATGTGTATTCCTCTCTCTTGCACTCTCTAAAATTCAATGAGAAAAATATCCTCAGGTGAGGATTGAAGAAGAAGAAGAAGAAGAAGAAGAAGAAGAAGAAGAAGAAGAAGAAGAAGAAGAAAAGAGGAGGTGAAGGAGGAAAGAGGGAGGGAGAAAAAAAAAGAGGGAAGGGAGGGAGGGGGAAAAAAGGGGGTCAGAAAAAAAAAACATAAGAAAGTGGATAATGTGATCTGATCAGGTTAAATCTTCAAAGTGAAAATCATATTTCTCCCGGGGGTAGGGCCTCAATGTTTCTGAGCATCTCCAGGAAGGCCTGTGGCGAAGGTGCCTCCACATTCTTGAAGGTGTCCCGGATTCTGCTGTACAGGGTGAAGAATCTCCGCTCCACACAGAGGAACCCAAATTGGTTCTCATCAAACAGGATGAAGATTCCAAGGAAACGCTGAGGGTGGAAGGAGTCAGGATAGTAAACAATGTCTTCGCCATAGAAACACATCCTGTAGGTTCGGGGGTAGTTCTGGTCTATTGAGTCCACACCCACAGGCAGAACAAAGCTGTGGGCAGGCTGCTCCTCCAAAGCTGCAGCCCTGGACTCCCTGGCGCTGGGCTGGGCAGGGCTCTGCCAGCCATGGCCCTCGCTGTTCTCAAGCTGCTCCTGGATCACCTGCTCCCGAATCTCCTGGACGATGGAGGAGAGCATGTCGAAGTTGCGGAGGATCTCCACATTTAGCACCTGGATGCGGTGCAGGAGGTGGATCTTTAAAGTCTCCTTCCGGGCAGAATTGAGGGGGTCTCCCGCGAAATTTGTGGCCCTGGCATAGTTCCCATGGAAGCTGAGCAGGGCAATCTTTAGACTGTAGGCATTACAGTTGCATTGGAAGATGCCTGGCCTGATGAGGTCATCAGGGTGGCTGGGTGGGAGGTAGACGCGGCTGTAGGTTAGGCAGTCAGGATTACGGTAACTCACAGACTTTGGGAAATACTTTTGGATAATCTCATCTGTGATGGTGAACCAATCCTTCTGAATCTTCAGGTGGCATATGTGGGGCCTTCTGTAGTGCCCGTCATGGACCCTACAGTAGTCTTCCATGCATTCCACCTGGGCAGATTTCCTCGTCAGGCGAATTCTAAACGAGGGCTTCCATGGCTTTGGGACATCCACATAGAGGTAATAGTAAGGAGGCATGTACCTCCAACCAGTAATGCAGAAGCCGTCCACCGCTACCTTCAGCAGGTCTCTCCGGACATCGAGCAGCCACAATCCCAAAATGTTTCTGTATGGGTGGAGCAACTTCGTATAGAATTCTCGGCAAGACATACCCATGGCCTCCAAGTCCTGAAAGTTTTCACAAACGCCATACTCCTCCCTGCAGCGCTGTCTCCAGATGCTGTCGGTGTGCAGGATGCTGCGGAATTGGGTGCAAGCCTGGGCCAGGCTGGCCAGGTCCGTGCAGGGAAGGAAGGCGAAGATCTCCAACAGCATCTCTGGAGGCAGGTCCTGCAGCGAGCAGCGTGGAGGCAACGAGGGCTGCATGGGGCTCGCGATCCCTCCACTCCCAGCACAGGATTGGGTGGCCCCAGCTGCCTTGACCTGCTCCTCTGCCTGGACAGGGGCGGGGGACAGGGCAGGGGCAGGGGCCTGGGGCTGAATGTTATTGGCCCCTGCCATCTCACCTGGAACTAGGCGCGGCTGATGACACTGGCTTCGCAAGGAAGAGCACATGTCGCTGAAGAAAGCGCTCTGTTCCATCTGGTCCAGTAACAGAGTGACAGCCAAAGGTATCCTGAACTGCAGCAGCCTGGCTTTATATTGGCACTGTCCCGCCCAAGAGTCCCGCCACGCCCCCCAAGGCCTAGCCACGCCCCCTCAGATGATCCAATTGTAGGACTTAAGCAGCAACACTTCCCAAAGAAACCCACAACCAATTAACAATAGCCACCCTTTCCCAGTGCCCCCTCCCTGTCATCCCACCCTAACCCCAAGCAGTCACTAATCTGCTTTCTGTAAGGTTATGCCTCCAGGGGTATGCCTATGGGGACATTTCTTGTAAATGCAATTATAACATCTGGTCTTTTGTGACTGGCTTCTTTCACTTAGCATAACATTTTCAAGTTTTATATGTTATATCTTATGTATGTATATATAAACAAAATGTGATATTCCCATACACTAGGACCTAGTGTATGGGCATACCACCTTTTGTTTACCCATTCATCAGTTGATGGATGAATTTTGGATTGTTTCCAGTTTGAGGCTCTTATGAATAACACTGCTAAGAACATTGTGTACAGTTTTGGTTTTATAATATATATTTTATTGATTTTTTTTTTTTTTTTTTTTTTACAGAGAGGAAGGGAGAGGGATAGAAAGCTAGAAACATCAATGAGAGAGAAATATTGACCAGCTGCCTCTTGCACACCCCTCACCGGGGATGTGCCCACAACCAATGATGTACTCGGTTTTGTGTGAACGTGTTTCCATTTCTTTTGGGTATGGACCTAGAAGTGGACCTTCTGGGTCATATGATAACTCTATGCTTAGCATGTAGAGAAACTGCCAAAAACGTTTTCAACCAGCAATGTACAAGGGAGCCAATTTTTAAACATTCTCATGAATGCTTTTTACAAATATATATTATAGCCATCCTGGTGAGTGTTGAGTGGTATTTTATTGTAATTTAGAGCAGAGTTCTTGACTGTAGATCGACTTGACCTTGAACTCCATAAGGGAAATAAATCTCTTCTATCCTCAGCCTTCACCCAGCCTTCACCCTCTGCCAAAACTCTCAGGCCCCTGGTAGGAATGGGCTCCTACATATGAGCATGGATGGACTCGAGTTCTTAAATTTCAGTTGACCTTAGTTCTTCACATTCAAGTGACTAGCCTTGCTAGTTCCTTGGGTGAATGGATGCCTTCAAAAGGAAAAGTTCACAGGATCTGCCCACTATGGGCTGGGATGGCCCTGCCCAGTCAGACAGGCTTTTTGAGAGCAGCTAGATTCCTTCTCTCCTCTTTTCTAGATTCCTACCAGAGAAACGCTCTCACCTTTAGAGGGTCCTCTTCGTGCCCTGGGAGGAATTGGATTTGCCTTTTGTGAGGAATAGACATTTAGGGTGGTTTATTTGGTACAGGGGTGTAAATTCCATCTACCACAGACACTGACTTTGGTCATTTTAACACTAAAATATTCTCAGTCTCTAAGAAGCAGGAATTTTAGGAGAACATAGGCAGGCTTAGGAATATTTTAGAATTGGGGTCCATGGAAAGCATGGGGCTTCAGGGAGAGGGAATCTCAAATTCCAGATTCTTTGATATATTGTATTTGAAAAATTGAGAGTCCAGGCAGGGGGTTAGGGAGTGGAGGTCTATCTTAGGTAACTACTTCCAGCTGAGACCATGTCGTCTTTTAGGGCCGTCTACCCAGGATCTCAAAGATTCCCCAGTAGGGGTGTGCAAGAGGCAGCTGATCAATGTTTCTCTCTCATGGATGTTTCTAGCTTTCTATCCCTCTCTCTCTTCCTCTCTGTAAAAACTCAATGGAATATATATTTTTAAAATTGGCCCTCAAAAGGAATTTTAATTGTTGTACTATTGATATTTGGCTCTGTTGACTAGTGATTTTGGCAACTACTGATCTATATAATAAAAGCCTAGGTGGCATCTCCTGTCATTACAATATGGCGACCCCCATGTCATCACAAGATGGCCACCACAAGATGGCCAATCCCGTGTTATCAGGAGATGGCCACCCTCACATCATCACAAGATGACTGCCCCCATGTCGTCACAAGATGGCTGGCAAAGGAGGGCAATTGTGGGCAACCAGGCCAGCAGGGGAGAGCAGTTGGGGGTGACTGGGCTTGCAGGGGAGCAGTTAGGCATCAATCAGGCTGGCAGGGGATGGGTTAGGGGGTGATCAGCCTGAAAGGCAGAGCGATTAGGGGCAATCAGGCAGGCGAGCAATTAGGAACCAGCAGTCATGAATTGTGAGAGGGATATTCAACTGCAGGATTGGGCCTAAAAAGGCAGTCAGAAGTCTGGGGTACCAGATTGGAAAAGGTGTAGGCTGTGCTGAAGGACACCCCCCTCAGGGCACAAATTTTTTGCACCAAGCCTTTGGTCTATATAACAAAAGCTCAGCGACTATTTATGGAGGAACAACCAGAACAATTGGTCCCCATGATGCGCTGGCTGCAGGGGCTGCCATCAGCACTGCTGCTGCTGAGCCCAAGGGCCCTCGGCCAATTGCATGTCCTCCGCCGAGACACCAGTAAAGCAGAACACAAAGGTGATCAGCATGAGTGTGCAGCTTGAGATGAAGGCTCTATGGGACAAATTCAATCAGTTGGGCACCGAGATGATCATCACCAAGGCTGGCAGGTCAGGACACCTCTCTCCCCACTGTAACCCTCTCCATGTGGCGCCAGTCTCGGGTAGCAGGCTTTGGCTCAATCCACTTGAGCAAAACTGAGAATCAGGGAAGGGGGCACAGACTGGTCACCTGTGGGTCCAGCTTCTTCACACTCTGAATCTTGGCTTGATCAGGGGCCGGATTGGCTGGCCAACCTCCAATGACCCCTTCCCCTGGCTCGCCTGGCCAAATCGGTCCCCTCAGGATTTGCTGGCCAGACCCAACCAAATCATGAATTTGTGCACCAGGCCTCTAGTACAGTAATCCTATCTAATAAAAAGAAGATATATTGACCCTCACACCACTGCAAATCTGGCAGCACCTGCAGCCAACAAGGAGGGAATATGCTAATTGATTATCATACCCTCAAAGTTGCCAATGGCCACAGCCAATAAGGAGGGAATATGCTAATAAACTGTCACGCCCTCAAAGATGGTGGAGCCCAGAGCCACAAGATGGCAGTGGCCAGTCACAAGAAAAACCCCATCCCCACAAACATTAATAAAGAACTTAGCCTTGGGGTAAAATAGCATCTACTTTTGCAATAGATTTGCTTTCTTACTTATGTTTTGCTAAGATTGCTATTAAAGTCAGTTGCTTTTCTCTATATGCCCCAAGGACAGTGAGGGACCAGGACTGGTAGAAATGCTTCACATGGATGTGCCTCTGTGAAAAATGAGAGTGGATTTTAAAAGCTCTTCTCCAGCAAGGAAGCAAGAAATTGAGAACTTACTTGAAAAAATGAACCATAACTTTCCCTCACCTGGTTAAAGAAACAAGCATACATGTCCAGGAAGCATAGAAAAACACAAACAAGAGGAACACAAAGAGGCCCACATCAAGACACATCATAATTAAAATGCCAAAAGTTAAAGACAAAGAGGGAATCTTAAAATTCCAAGAGAAAGGCAGTTAGTTACCTACAAGGGAGCCCCCATATGACTGTCAGCTTATTTCTCAACAGAAAATGTGCAGACCAGACAGGAGTGGCAAGAAATATTTAAAGTGATGAAAAGCAAGAACCTACAACAAAGATTATTCTGTCCAGAAAAGCTATCAATTAGAATTGAAGATCAGATAAAGAGCTTCACAGACAAGAAAAAGCTAAATGAATTCATCACCACCAAACCAGTATTAAATGAAATGTTAAAGGGTATTCTTGAAGAAAGAGGAGGAGGAGAAGGCGAAGGAGGAGGAGAGATCAAGAAGAGGAACAATAAAATGGCAATAAATACATATTTATCAACAATTGAATCTAAAAATCAAAATAGATGAACAAGCAAAACAGAAACAGACTCGTGGAAAAGAGAACATTTTGACGGTTGCAAGATTTTTTTTTTTCTTGGGGGAGGGGGGTGTTAAAAAAAGTGAATGAGTTTAGAAGCACAAATGAGTAATAGCCCATGGACACAGACAATAGACAAGTGAAGGCCTGGGATGGGGGTGAGGGTTGATGGGTAGAGGGGAGCAAAGGGGGGAAAACAGGGGACATCTGTAATACTCTCAACAATAAAATTAATTTTAAAAATAATAAAAGCTCTGCATATAAGAATAATTATGGACACAAACAGTAAGGGGATGAGGGCATGTGCTGGGAAAGTGAGAATGACTAGGGAGAGGTCAATGGGGGGAAAAGGAGATAATATGTAATACTTTAAACAATAAAGAATCAAAAATAAATAAAAGCCCGTTTTCACCTTCTTTCAATCTAATTCTAGGTCTTGGTCTATATCTGACTGACTTCCCATCTTAATTATTTTAACCTTGTCCTCAGTGGCCTTTTTTGTCTCTCATCACCATAGAAACCCATCTGTCTTAAGAATCATCTTTCATGCCAGTTTCTTGGCTCCAGTTAAGTCCTCCTTCTGCTTCAAAATACCTGCTGAATTAAATCTAAGCTCCTTAATCTTGGCTTCTGGGATCTTATCTAATTTGCTCCTCTTTTATTCTCTTTTTGGAAATATTAAGCTCCTGGAGCAGAATTAAGACAGATCACTGTCAACCATAATATTAACTGTGATAACTAGTATATTTACATAGTATTTTAGAATTGATTGTCATAATCATGCTATAATATACATATCAAGCAGTTAACGGGATAAGCATTTAGTTTGATAAAAAAAAAAAATTGAAGCCAATGCCAAAACTG